TATATATATGTATATAGATTTTTAGTTGATTTTCACTTGTGGTTTTCTATGCTCCCCTGCCCGGAAAGCATTGACCTCTGGGATGGGAGTTAACAGTTGAGCCATGTAATACTTTGTCAGGAACATGAAGTTTTATGGTAATTAAAAGCAAGCAGGCAAGAGACACAAAAGGTTTCCCTCGGGCGGGCTGGGTTGGTTTTGGTTTGGGTAGCAGAGGGTGGAAAAGCCCCGTGGGGAATGGTCCCCGGGACACTCAATGCTCCTCCTTCCAGGAGCGAGACGGGGGGCCTGGACAGGGCGCTAAGTGTCCCTGCGGTGTCTGTTTAAAGTTTGCTCTACAGTCGCAAGTAATTTTATTTAAATATACCCTAGAGATGAAAAAAACCCACAAAAAAGCTGGGGTTTTTGTTTTGGTTTTTTTTTTCACAAAACTCATGAAAATTCTTCAGTGTAATGGGGGCATTCAAATATCATAACTATTTAGTCATCATAATAAAAAGAGTGATTATAATAAAAAGAGATGCTGAAAAAACTTGCTGTCCCGTGGAGGACTGTAATAACTGGAGCAAAGATGCCCCAGACCATGCTTGCCATGGGATGGAGGATGCTGCCGGCCAAATGGGAGTCAGATTTTATCCCACCAAACCCCAGCTCCAGCACGGAGGCACGGCATCCTTATTTCCCAGTTCAGCAGTGCCGCCAGAGCAAGGAGATAAAGCAAACAAGATTTAACAAGAAAAGCAATCTTTTTAGCTCCATTATTAACGTGATAGGTGCTTATTTCTCCTCCCTGTTTAAAAAGCGACCGTAGGACTAACCGAGATCCCTGGCCCTGGTTTCAATTACGCAGAGATTGAATCAAAACAGACTGCTGTGCCGTAAATACGAGGGGGGCCCTCTCTGTAAATCGTAAAATTGAATTCTAAAATTTCATGTTAAGAGCCTTGTCTTTGCATCATGGATTGCACTGCCATCTATCACGGTGACACTTACAAGTCACAGCTGAAAAAGTACTTTATTAGATTTTTTTTTTTTTAAACAATTTTGATTTATTCTGGTTACGCTGTCTGTATATTAGACTGAGCAGAATCTCACGCCGATCACTACGCTCAATAAAGCATCCACAGATATATTACAGAAATCCCTCAGTGTTTCCAAGTTATGGCCAAATGGTGTCTCAGGGCCTGCTCCCAATCATCCGTGTCTTTTAAACCCAAATCAAGCATCAGGGATCTTAATGACCTTCGTCTCATCGGCTCTTGCCTGGTGTTGTTTAGAGTTGTTGGCCCATTTTCATCGTGGCTCTGATCAATAGCTATGATGACAAAGATATGATGAGCTGTGTGATTCCCTCCGGTCACCGCTGCTTAATGATTTTTCCAAGCTCCAATCTTCAGTTGAAAAAAAAATAAAATAAAGGGCTCGGAGGAAACAAACACTGTGGCATTTCTCGTGATAGCAAATTAGTCTTGTTCCTCTTCGCTTGGACTGAGCGCGCAGGACGCTTCTCAGCTGCAGAGCCCTCATGGCACTGGCTCATGTCTGGATGCCACAGCGAGTTGGTCCCATCCTGGTCGCTCCTTCAAATGGAGCATGTTTGGGTACCAGCACCAGCTAGTGAGGGCTTGAGCTGTTGGTCCTTACCCACCACTCACACTGGGAGCTGCAGCCCCTGCTCCAGACTGCTGGACTTCCTCCTCCGAGCTGGGAGCCTTGGCCATGATCCTTCCCACCACCCTGAGGACTGGAGAAAAGCCCAGGACTTCAAAGTAATTTAAGCCATGCCTTTGCATTTTGAAGGGAAACTCCTTTTGGTGGGGGAGCGACTCCTCTTTTTAGGAGTCAAGAAAATAGTGACTTCTCAAAGTCAAGCCATAAAAGCACATGAGGCCACAGTAAGGTTTTTCCTTGGTGATGGTCTGGCATGCAACTTGCCTTTGAAAGAGCACCTAGAGCAAGGGCATATGGGGGTTAGTGCTGTGGCATTTCCACCCAGCACCTCCCGGCATTAGAGGCGTGAGGATCTGCTACCCTCCTGCCCACAAGCAGAGCAAGAAGGGTCGGGCAACCATGGCACAGCCCCATGGGGAGGCAAATGGGGCAAGGCAAGGGTAGGAAGGGGCTGTGGGGCTGTGAGTCGAGTGGAAAAGCTTGTGGATAGCGGAGTGCAGTCCCATGAGGAGGGCATGGCTCAGTGCTCTTTGCATTTACAGCCCATTCCTGCAACTTCCACAGGAACACGCTTGGGATCCTGTAGAAACAGCAATTTTCACTAGCAAAGGGTGAAATTTAGGGCTTTGGGACTGAAAATGTTTGTTTCTAGCTTTGCCACCTAGGTAAAGTGGAAAGGGTGAAGCTTTCACAGAGGCTGAGGATTCAGGAACATAGTAGCTGTCTTTGGACAGGTTTGTCCCCAACACTAGACAGCCACCCCTTTTAATTTTTTTGGTTAAAGGCTTTGATAAAGAGAAGAGCAACACATACATATATATACTTTTACATATATTGTTTTCCCCCTTTTTTGACACAATGTCTGCAGTTCCCGTGCAGGGTGCAGGTCCAGGAAAAGACCTCCACGGAACCAGCGGGCAGCTGGGCACAGTTGCATCCCACCGCTGCTTGAGGATGCTGAGAAATGCAACCCAAGCTGCTTTCCCCACGGCGCAGAGCGGGAGGGCTCCCAGGTCTAGGCATGCTATACGTGTGCGGTGGGACCGTAAAACTCTTGAAAAATGGATGAACTCCTCAAAGTCATTAGCTCATGTAATAACCTGAAGAGTCTGCGTAAGGCTGTCGAGGTGCCATCTCAGGCTGGCAGGGTTCCAGTAGGAATATTTCACACTTGAATTCCTTTCCTTGGCTGCGTGGAAAGGTGGCCCATTTACTCTTGCACTACTCCTCTTAGCATTGTAACACATGGATGGGGATGGATATAGAAGCACCACTTCTCTTCGGAGCCACTTGGACAGGAGCAGTGTAAATGGGATACATGCTGAGCGCTCTCTGCACCGCAGGTCTTCACCAAGGTTTATGCCTTTTGACCCAGCGTCCCAGAGCTCTATTTTGCTCTGTGCATGCCGCTTTAGACACTGAAATCCAACACAAGGTTGAGGTTCTGGGAGGGATTTGTCCCTGGTGTGACTCGGGGAGGGGGAAGCAGGGAGCTGGGTAGCCCTGGGAAGAGGGTGCTGCCTTGTTTGAGTAGGTGGCAACTGCTGGTTTGGCTAATCCTGCCCCTAATCCCCACCAGTGCATCCTCAGGGCAACCGAGGCTTGCCAAGAGTTTGATACCAGCAACGCAGGCGGTAGTGCCACGGCCTTTTAACCATCCCTGGCAGGCAGCTGCCTGAAGCAAGTGCTCCCTTGCCAAAGCCTAGAGCTGGCCTGGCCAACACATCTCCTCCCAGCTGGCTCTGCCAGAGCTGGATAGCCTTTCTAGCCCAGCTGCCTGCGATTTACTCCTGCCAAAGTAATAAAGGTTGAGCGCTGCGAGGGACGGTTCAAAGTACAACACTGGGTTACAGCACCAGCATCGTCACCCTTGCTGCAAGCAGGAGGGGCCACCAGAAGAAAATCAGGGCCATCCCGGTGGGTGGCCCCCACGTGGGTCAGCCCCGGGGCTCTGCAGCTTCCAAAACTCTGGCCACGCAGCCGAAGGTATTAGGGACTGGGAATTGGAGGAGGAACAGTTTGTTGGGGGAATTTCCATCCCACCACCTTCCTCCTGGCAAGCACTCAGGAACAGACAGGCAAGGCAGACGGAGCTGGCAGCCGGCATCTACGGGGAAACCGCGATAGCACTGGGGCTGCCAACGTTTAGCTGCCTGAGGAGCGCGTGCCCAACACACCCCCCGGCTTTATCTTGGGGACTGGAGCCTGCAGAGAAGTATCAGGCTGTGTTGGAGGATGTCAGTGGTGGTGGCGCAAGTGCAGAAGAGCTGGCTCTGAGAACACGAGCGCGTTGTAGGGCTCCGAGTAAGGAAACAGCCTTGACATGGATTTGCACGTCTCGGGTTATCTCTCTGCGGAAGCGAGAAGCAATAACCAAAGTGGATGGAATAATAATAAAAAAAAAAAAATCAGGACTGAGATGTTCTCAGAGAGACACGGTGAGAGCTCTTAGAGTCAGGACACGTGCAGGTGCCAGTGCGATAGAGACGGCTATTTGGGACCAGGGCTGGCCCCCCCAGCCGGAGCTCCAGCGAGAGGTGGGGCAACGCCTCTGCCTGCAGGCATGGCCCTTGCTACCACAGGACTGTTTCAGGCAGGGAAGAGGATGCTAAGCTCATCGCCTTGGTCCCTTGAATTTCAAGGACTCTTGCAAATACCAGAGCACAGAGGTTATGTGAATACAAATTACATTAGCATGCCGAGTAACTTTGTCAGCAGTTTCTTATTAAAGCACTTGGTCCCCTCTGTAGTGGGCATTTCCATTCAACTTCCCCCTTCTTCACTGCTAACAGTCAACTGGGCTCTCCGTTTAATTCGAGCTCGTGTAAGAAACAGTGAGAGGGTTGATTCCAATATTCCCCCTCTTGTCCCACCATACACAAGCTGTTGCTACTTATTAAACATTTTAAAATCCCTGCTGCCAAAGTCCCCGGGAGACATTTATCTGCCATAGTCATAAATGACTTGCCAGCATGCTACTCAAAACTGCATTTCCCAGCCAATAAATACAAGCTCCAGAATCAGGAAAAGCAGGGTTTGGCTTGCTCTAATTTTCAGTGGTATGTCACTGGGATACTATAACTACTTTTAAATTCAAATCAGCTTCCTAAAAATTAACTGGTTTTATCAGATACAGCACAGTGGACTGTTAAACACATAGCCTCGTGTACTGAAACACTATACATTTAATGAAGTTATGCCATTAGCAAATGTACAACATGGGTGCATTAAATCCACCTATAGAACAGCTCTACGTATGAGAGAGAGGATTTATTTTAGCTTTTCTCAATAGAGCAGGAGTCCCTTTCTTGGCTTTTGCTAGGTTTTTTAACTAAAACCAGGATTTGCACACACACAAAAAACCCCAAAAAGTATCTACTCTCATAATGAAAAAAGACTGATTTTTTTTCTTTTTTTATTCCAGTTCAGGAAGGAAGAGAATCATCTTGCAAGTTAATATAATCAGCTCCTTTGCCTCTATAATCTACTTCTGCTCAGCAGGAGCTCCCAAAAAAACACTTTATGTCCCAAGTGAAACGTGAAAACTACTTGTAAGGTCTCTTTTGAGGCACATGATTTGGACGGTCGCTTTCGGAGTATCGGAATCAGCATCGTCTTCCATCTCCTTTCTTCTCGGGAAGAGCTCTCCGGGACGCCACTGGCTCCCCATGTTTCGGGTGGAAGGCTATCTGTCCCTGCCCCAAATCAGAAAGGGTTAGGATGACACAAGTTAGCACAGACACCCATTTCGCACTTCACGCCTAAGGACGTACGTTGACGACTCCCCACTTCAAATTCCTCACAAAGGGGGGAAAAAAAAAAAAGAGGATAAGAGACAGTAAATTTCACTGTGATCACACTACGGCAAAATATACCTTCTGTTCATTGCAAAAAACACGTGAAGGCCAAATTAAAGAGGAAAAAAAAAAAAGTATGTTGCATGAGTTACAGTGCAACCGTATTATTCCTTCTCTTTCTATTTTCCTCCCCCCCGCCTTGTTCAGTTTAGAAAAAGGATTGAGTACAACACAGTCAGGTAAGTGGCCACAAAAGCGTAGCTGTCTTTGGCAAGAAGTCACCGCATTGACCCTCTCTGTCACCTTCTGCCCATTTCGCTCTGTCTCATGAAGTGGATGTTGTTGGCGCTGTCTGAGAGTTCGGGGTACTGCTCCACTGAGATCACAAAATAGCCGTCGTAGCCCTGTACCCGGCCCGTGTTTAGCACTTGTTGCTTCTCCCCTTCTGTCCATGAGCGAATGCCCTCCTCCCCATCCCGCAGTCTCTGCTGTTCCCGGGACCAAGCTTGGGCGACAGCGCGCTGTCGGGCCAGCTCCAGGACGCGGGCCTTCTCCTCGTCCAAGGTGGTCCCGTAGCGAGTGTTTAGACACAGCGCACCGTACTGGAGCTGGATGTCCGTGTAACGTCTAGTCCTTCCACTCAGCACTGTGTTGATCTGGGACACTGTCACGTTCACGCCGTTCTCCAGGGTCCTCCGCCCACCACTGAGGCCCAAGATGGACAGGTCGCCTTCCGATGGCCCTTGCTTAATGAAATAGTGCGTGTCCACCCCGTCGATGGTGAAGTGCAAGTTCTCCAGGTAATGGGCGTTGTTCAGGATAGCTGCAATCCTCCGCCCGTCCTCGTTGGCCACGCTGATAATGTCGGTGGCCACGCGCCCGTCCTTCATGGCGAACTTGACGCCTTTGCCAAAGATAGAGCCTCCAGAGGCAAAGTTCTTGTTCTTCTTGACCTGCTGGCACCCGGCGATGCTGGAGCTGTAGATCTGTTCAAAGCGCTCAAGAGTGACAAAGGCTTTCAGCTGCTTCTGCACTTCACATTGAACACCCAAAATTGACTGAGCAGGGAGGGAAAGAAGAGAAAGACATGTTAGAATGAGAAGCCTGATGACCCAAAGGCATTATTAGCATGCTGGAAAACAGCAGAACATCCTGGAAACATCTAATGAAGAGCTCCATAGATTTTTTTTCCCCTATGACCTTTTTTCAGATTTTTAATTCTTTTTAATGAAAGAGATGTGTTGGCAGGTTATTTCCCCTGATAGTCATTGTTTCAATAAACTGGACTGTATTTAATCTCACAGACTGAAGGATGTAGAGGTAGAAAAGGATTTTTTGTGGTGTGAGGGTCTAGTCTGGACATGCAATTATTTTGTGCTTCAGTGTTCTTCATCTGCACATAAGAAATCATTCATCTTGTGGCCATGGCGCTTTATAAAATGCTTTCAGATTTTCTGTGAAAAGGTGTGGAAGTATTTGTAAAAGCTCCCTCTGTTTTAACTTCACTTTGCAACTCTTTGTGCTACCTTCAAAAGCCCTGCATCACAGATATGACCCTCAAAGTGGCCATAACCCCTTCATATCCCATTTGAACGTGGCCAAAGCAGGTTGTTCAAAACTCAAGGAAGGTCCTAAATCCAACTCCTGTTTCCTGCAAACCCTCTACAATGCTCCAGGCTCCCTGAGCTAAGGCCAGCCACACCTGATGCTCAAGTTTTGGCTTATACTGAAGCAAAACTGCTGAGACACAACAGCCTGGATCATTTGCAGTCAGGTACAATACAAAGTCACTTTTGCTGTTAGCATATAATGGAGCAAGCACACAGCGAGTCAGCAGCTCATCATTACTGCAAAATGTCTTTGGAAATGCTCTCATCAATTCATGGCAGCGCAGGCTTCTTACAGACCCCTGTTCATGAACAATTATTTGCTCCAATTTCACAAAAGCAAGAGGACACTATGACAAAACTCTCCTGGCACTGCCAATGGCTCAGTTCAATAATGTAATGACATTCAGGATTAAAAATAGGCTACAAAGAAAAGTTTGCTGCCTCCAATTATTTTGAGGAAATTTAACATCTAAGAAGGATATTGCCTTAGACTGTCCACAAGCTACAGGCTCATATCCTTCCTTGGGTGCAAGAAGACAATTCACACAATGCAGGCATTGCAGTGTGGACCTCTCAAATAAGACTTGTAACATGGCAAGGGAAGGGAAATAAACCCTCATTTCCATGGTGGCCGTTTCCAGGGAGGACTCTCAAAGCATTAAAGAAATAAAATAAAGGAATTAGCATTGCAACTCACTCAGAGGTTATGAGCAGTTTTGATCTATAAAGGAGAAAACTATAAGGGAGCAGAAGTACACAAGTTCAAGAGCATCTTTTGGGTTGTAAAGCATTAAAATACCTAAGACCCAGGACTGACTTTTATTCAAAGTGCCAAGCAGGCTGGCATATGTCCTCCTTTTCCCCTTTCAATTACCAGCATAGTAGTTGGAGCAGGAACCAGTCACCTATGAAAGAGGAGCTCTTTCAGGTTCTCCCCATAGTCCCTGTGGGGGATCTCGCACACAGCCTAGAGAGAGATATAATTAACAGACTGATAGGGAGCCAAGCTCAGCTTCCCTGCTAACTGCACAAGTGCCCTAATTATGCAAAAAATGGACGTAATTAACGTAGATGTCACTGATGATGGACACAAAGCAATTAGGTTTCTAGGCTCCATGAAACACTGTTCTAAATAAGTGTATACTGCACAGCCATGGGTAGCTATTTTCAGAGAGCTTTAAATGGGGAGGTATTCTTCTCAGATGCATCTCATATGGATTGACTCCAGGTGGTCCTTCCCCACTACCCAAGCACGCCATGTTGCTCTTCCAACTCACCTCAGTAACTTTTACAAGTGATAGGAAAAGGCATTTCTCATCACTCATGTTCAATCACTGTTTGGTGTGGGCTCCTTCACTCAAGGATATAAATAGGTCTTCTGTGCTACATTGCTATGTCCTGTGGTCATTTATATCTCACTATCTATATATACATCACCGTGTTTACCAGCAGTTGAATGATAAGGGGTCCCTGGAATTAATCGCACCATCTACTGATTATCACCTTGGGGAAGGGAGCTCTGGGAGGTCAGATGGCACTGGGCATGGGAGAATTATTCCTATGAGAAATCTCCCCCGTTCCCCTTTTATTTTGTCTTCATCGCCTTATTCTTGATGAGCTGCAGCAACTCCAGTGCCTTTTCAATTCTGAGCAAATTATTAGGTATAGATCCCCTGTGAGTGCCTCCAAATTAGGTTTCCCCAACAAACCAGTGGGTCTGGACACTACTCCCTTGTCTTTTCTTCTGATCCCAAATGAAAAGTGAGTTTGCAACAAGCTCTGAAAACCTGCGGATGCTGCAAGGTAGACACTGTGATATGACAATCTACTGTCCTTTGGACAAGCAGGACATATGGTTCATAACCATATGTTTATACTGCTAAATATAAAATAAATATTTTA